TTTATTTATGAGGAATAGAAAACCCAGCCCAAACTGGCTTAAAGAAATTTGTATGCTCTGTAACTAAAAGTATGAGGATAATGTAGCTTCAGGCATAACTTGATTCTGGACTTTAAAAATGTTCTTAGAATCAATCTCTTGGCTCAGATTCACCTGGGTTGGCTCTATACTTAAGTGCCAGGTAATGACCTCAGTGGTTTCAGGCTTACATCATCACAATGTCTAGCAAAATGCAAGAAAGAGACCAGCAGTCACTGATATCCCAAACAAAAGTCACATTAATCAAATCTCATTTGTTCAAATTAGTTTGATGTGGTTCATGGCCCATTGTGTTTTCAATAGCAGACATGTTAGATTTTATAAAGTAAGGCAACTTCAGTATTTGTCAATTTATGTTTAAATGCTCATGGCACAGTGAAGTTTCATTATGACTCCTGTTAACAATTGGTCACCACCTTATATCTACACAATGGAATACTATTCTGCTATAACAAAAATGAAATGCTACCATTCCCAGCAACATGGGTGGACTTAGAGAAAATTATATTAAGTGAAATAAGCCAGGCAAAGAAAGAGAAATACCGCATGTTCTCACTTGTTTGTGGGAGCTAAAAAAAATAAGTAAATATACAAACGAACTGGGGGCAAGGGAAGAAGACACAACAATCACAACAGTTCCTTGATTTTTTTAAGACAAGTGAACAGATATGATGTTGATGGGGGGAAGGAGGGAGAGAGAGGGAGGAAAAGGAGGAATTCGTAAAGGGGCAAGAAAATCAACTATATTGTATATTGATAAATTAAAATAAAATAAATATTTTAAAAAAACCAATTGGTCACCACTGGAAATTTTGTCATATTGATTGGGATAAAATTTTAGGTATTGATAAAATTACCCTTTTTGTTGTTTTCCAACTCTATAGTCAGTAAGATTATAGTAAAAGAACTCTTGAATGGAAGCTTTTATTTCAGTCTACACTCCCCTTCTCTTAATAACCTTAAGGAGCCAAGAAAGACATATGATACAATATTCAGCTCTGCAAATTTCAGCAACCAGTACCTGTTCTTTTGTTGTCAACTAGTGAATTTAATCCCCCAAACAACTTCTATCCCATCTACATGGCTTCTTTCTTATTGTTATCTCAACTGTTATCCCAAGTGAAAGAATGACCTTGAATCTAAGAAAACTAGAGTTTGTATTATAAACCATAAAGAGCTTGCATTTTTTGGCCCATAGTTCAAGTTCACCAGAGAGTTTCTTTACCCCTTCATTAGAACCTGGAGCTGTTGAAAGAGGTCTGGTTCTGTGTTTTACGTATGTTTTACTTTCTTGGTATGTCCATCAGTTGTTTGTTTTATTAAATTCACTTCAGGACATCTTGAATTTAGTGTCATTAAGACAAAAACTTCCTTTACTAGCAATCACTATGAAGCATTCATTCCATTTACTTCAAAATTTTTTACAAGGCTCTCAAATTCAAGTGTTTCTAATTCAGTTCAGTTTATATATGTGATGCATAGCAGTTTGGGATAGATAGGAAGAAAACTAAATAATATGTATTATTCCTTTTATAAGTTTGAAAATTTACTGTTTTAGAAGACCATTGGACCAAAATGACAAGTCACTTTTAAGGGGGAAAACTCAGAACTCAGCTGGTATTTTTCAAATTCATTATTCCCACATAAGAAGCTGGACAAGATGAACTGGCCAACATTTATTAGACCTTTTCTGTTGTTTCAGAATAGATGACACCCTGAGATTTGGATGGGAAGCACCTGTCCTTAGGGCTCATCTTCTGGCAGCTTATTTATAGGCTTTATTTTAAAGCATTACTTACTTTATAGGCTTTGAACAGTTTGATGTCTTTGATGAAGTTGATGGGACCCAAACATGTCAGTTCTGTGAGGGTGAAGATGATGACCACTCTGAGAACTGGCCTTCGATTCAAGGATGATTTTCCTGAATTGTGTTGCAGGTAAATGGTTGCCAGAGTTCATTAATTTTTTTGCATTTCCCAGTTGCACTAACTTCAATTTTTATTCCTGAGGGAAATTGAGTTCATACCGTAGATAATTAAGGTTGAAAGTTTATTTTTATTGAGAAGGGAATGTATTTACTTCTTTAAAAAAGCTTTACTATGGCAGTCTTTTTTATTGTCATTTAATTTATAAATCTTTGGCAAAGATTTATTTTGTTTTGTATTTTTTTGTTTTTCTGGTGGCCAGTAAGGGGAACTGAACCCTTGACCTTGGTGTTACAGTGCTGTACTCTAACCAACTGAGCTAACCGGTCAGCCCATACTATGGCAATCTTTTAACATACTGGGAAATAGAAGACTTATTAATGAGCTCCTGTAGACCTATTTCTCAACCTCAGCAGCTATCAACATTACTAATCTTTTTTTGTTTGTTTGTTTTGGGTTTTATTTGTTTGTTTTGATGGATAAACCTAAACAGCATTA